AGATATTGTAAAGCATTAATTAAATCACTTTAGATATTTTACAAATTTACTTATAAATTTGCAAAATATTTAAATGATTTAATCAAGAGAGATATTTCGTAAAGATATAGTTTTATAAATTATAAATATATAAGTTTAGTGTTATCATATTCTATTTTTATATAACATATTTCATTTTTTTATATTATATTTCATTATTAAGAATAGTTAAAATAAATAAAGTACTAAATATTTTAAGTTTACTCTTAAAAAAAAGAAACTAGTTAATTCATGAAAAATTAATAAATTTGTATTTTTTAAATAATTCAAATAGTATTTATACTATTATAAGACATTTTAATTTACAATTAAATCAAGTTCATAATTAGAGAAGAAAAAAGAATAGTTTAAAGCTTTTATATCTTATTTATTAAAGTTATATAGAAGTAGATAACCATTTTTTTGGATTTAAAAAATGGGTTAACAAATTGAATTTTAAAATATCAAGAATAAAGTAATATTTTTTCTTTAAATTTTCAAATAAATGGATAAACTGTTTTATAAACTATAATCTTTCAAATTATCAAAAAATAATTATTATTAATTCTTTGTTTCTTAAAAAAAATATTTTCACATATTAAATTACTATAAATAAATTCTGTATTATGCATCTTTATAACTGCTGTTTTAACCATATTGTTATACAAATTTACAAGAAATTTTATAAAATGAGAATATAATCAAAATAATTATTATTATCATTATATTATTTAATAAAAAATAATTTTATAATTTTATAAAATTTTTTGATATATTTAAATTAAATTTTTACTTTATCTGAAACTTTGAATAAAGTGACATATAAAAATTTTATTTGTTAAGGATTAATTTAAAAAAAATTTTAATAATAAATGTCTAATATATCTAATACTTTTTTGAGAGCATATAATGTTTAAACTAGGTATTTTATAAAGTTTCTATAATATAAATATAAAAAATAGTAAATTAATATTAAAAGATTATATAAAAACTTTTTCTTAAATATTATATCAATAATATCAATATATTAACACTTTACAGAAAAAGAGAGAAAACTACCAAAAAATTTTTTTTACTTAATATGATGCAAGAAGTCTATACTTAACAATATAAATATAACATTTAAAAATCTTTCAACACTTTAAAAAAATAAAATTTAGAAAAAATAAACTGGTAATTTTATTCTTTAAGATAAGCTCTATTAAATTACTAGTCAATTTTTCAAAATAAATTCTATATAAAAAGTTATAGGTATTTAAAATTGGATAATTTTCATATGATCTTTCTGAATTTAAAACATATATTATTTGTTGAAAATTATGATAATTCAAGCTAGCATTATAATAATTAATCATAATGTCAACTTAAATTATTGTAATTTTAAAATGATACATAAAAAAAAATGATTAATATCTCATTTTTCATTGGTCAATTACTAATCACGTGATATAAATTCACAAAATATTTTAAAACATTGTTGATTTAAGACTTCTAGCATTATATTAAATCTGGATTTATTTACTAAAAAAAATAATGTTTAGCTTAGAAAGTAAAAAAAATTTTTTTTGATAATTTTCTCTCTTTTTATTGCAAAGTATTCATATATTTTACAAAAGAAAAAAATTAGAATAATCCAAAAATTAAAAAAACAAGAAATAGTATAAATATATATTAAAGATTTAAATTTAACTTATGAAAGATATAATAGGAAATATGTGAATCAAGTTTTGATAATATTAGATATTAAAAAATTTGCAAGATACTTTACATAGTATGCATTACCTTGATTATAGGGGTAGCAATCTCTGATACTTAATTCTATTTTTACTTTTAGATTATTCATTATATATATATCTTTTTTACTAAAATAAGTACTATTAATTATTATTTTATTATTTACATAGTTATTAAAACTTATTTTATAATATCTTAAATAATTTCTTAAATTCTTTTTTTCTTATATTTTCATTATCAAATACATTTGATATAAATTTAACTATATAAAATAAAAATATAATCAATATTATTTAGTTTTATATTTTTACAATTTTTAAAAAAAATTCCAAAAATAAAATGTTAGAGAATAATAAAATTTCTAGAAACTTTTATTAGACAATAATTAAAATAAATTAATTAGTAATTTATATTTTTTTCTATTTTTTTAGCTTTACAATTGAATTTGAAGAATCTAATAGTCTTATTTTTTTATAAGATCTTTTATGTAAACTTTTATATCTTTTATATTGGTTATAATTGCAGGTAAAACCTTAAATCCATTTAGCAAAAGTCAAAAAACTTTTTAAATTATTTTGACAATTTTAATAGGTTTTAATAGTTTTTAATAATTTCAATAAGTATTACAAATTTGAATAATTTTAATAATAACTTTACAAATTTATAGTTTAATATGTTTCTTATATCATAATATACAATATAAATTGATTTTTTTTGCTTTTTATTTTAAATTTGAACAAAGTTTTCAAAATAATATATTATTTATCAAGTAGATTTTATATTTAAAAGTACTAGTACTTGTTAAAAAAATTATAAATATTACCTTATAAAGATGATGATGATAGAGATTAGAACTGTATTTATTTTTATATTTAGATTTAAATTTAAACTGAATATATCTGAATAAATATCAAATCTAATTCTAATCTCTAGATAATAATTTTTTAAATGAAAGTTTAATAAAATAAAAAAAAAATATGAGAGATAAATGATATAATTGAACTTAATAAAAAATAAATTAATTTAATTTCAATATATAATTTTTTTGATTTTTTTTTTTATTCTTTATAAATAGTATATTATAAAAGAAAATTATCTTTATTTATATATAACTTGCTCATCTTATAAAATAAAAATAATAAATTTAAAAATTTTAAAATTATATTTAATATTAAAGGAGTTTAATGAGTTTTGTCATCTGTCAAACTTTTGTCATATATTGAAACTTTGCAATTTTATTTTTAATAAAAATATTTGATAAAATATTTTGACAAATTTCAATTTCAATATCTATTGAATTCTTCAAGTTTTATCTGATAACCTTAGTATTAGCTTTATATTTATATTTAATTTCTGTATATGTAAATAAATAATAAAAAGTCAAAATATTAAAAAAAAAAACAAAAATTAAATAATGTTACAAATAATATACTATATAAATAAATAAATAAAGTAAAAATAATTTTTATGCAATCAAGAAAAAAAAGCATAAAATTAAATATTTAATATTAGTAAATAAAATAAACGCAGATAAGAATAAAGTAATGAAAATAATTAAAAAGTTGCAATAATAAATAACCAAAGAAAAAAAGTTAAATATTCTTACAAAGAAATAAATAAATAAATGAAATAATTTACTTTTTTTTATATAATTGTTCATTACCTTTATTTATATTATCAGTTAATTTACTCTGCAAATATATAATAAAATCTTTTTATTATTCTTATCTCTTTTCAACTCCTTCAATTTCTTTTTCAGCCTCACCTTCTTCTACTTATCCTCTTCATCAAAGCTTTTTTTCAATTTTCTTATTAAGTGAAAAAAAGGTAGAAGCAAAAAAAATAATGCAAAAAATATAATAAAAATATCTGATTCTATTGCTGATAATTCCAATATTGTTGAGAATGAAAAATTTTAAAGGATATGTAGGTCTTAGTCTAAAATTCTTCACAGATGAATATTAATAAAGAAGAACTAAAGAAGAATTAGGTGTAGAAATAAAGTCCAAAAGAAAATGCTATCCTATTCATCAGATTTAGCCTCAATTCTAGAATCTACAATGTTAAATAAAATGTTTAATATTCAATTTTATTTATGAAAAGAAAAGAGTCACAACCAAAATCACAGCATGACATTAAATCTAATGATTCTTCAAAACCAATTGATAAAAAGTTTTGAAAGCTTTGAAAAGCATACAATAAAATTAATGATGAAATATGGTTACAAAATAGTAAGTGTAGAATATTATAATAGCATTAATTAATTATATATTGACTGAATCTTAAAACTAATATAATATTATTTAATGACAACACATGGAATTTTAGCTTTAGATTGGGTAACGCAAAGTCTTGATTTAAACCCTATTGAATATTTGTGGGACCATTTAGTTCGTCAAATACGAAAAGAAAATCTTTGCCTAAATCCAAACAGGAGTTAATTAGAGTTGCACAAGAAGAATGGGCAAATAATAATAAAGTTTATACCGTTTTAATTTTAAATATGCCTAATCATATTAAAAGTGTTATTAAAGCTAAAGGCGGACACACTAAATATTAGACTTTTGCTTTTTAAAATTGCATCTATTAAAAATAAAAATATTCATTTATATCAATATAGAATTTTTTTCATAGATTAAATAATAAAAAATTTTTAAATTGAAATTTAAACATCGTCATTTTTTTGATCGTTATTTATTATATGATCGATTACGGTAGGGTTCAGTATATAAAGAAAATTTGATCCTCTATATACCGAACTTTTGTTCTTGAACCACGAGTGAAGTTTGAATTTTCTTTTATTGATATTGAATTTAATCCTAATAAGATCAACAAAGTTTTGTCCTAAAGAATTTCAATCTATCAACATCCTTAATTCCAAATATATCTCAACAATTTAACATCTGATATAATTAGAAAACAAACTGTATTGAAAATGTATGCTTTCTGCAAGAATAATTTACTTATACGAGCATGGTCATAAATGTGACGAGAATGGTATCCCAAAGATAAAAAGAAACTTTGATACGTAATTTAAAAGAATTTATTACGTGACAAAATTTCATAGGATCGTAAAACTGGATAAATATGCCATGTAAAAAAGATTTACGAAATTATTTATTGATACACAGCCTGTTCACTGAAATATCGCTGAGTGTATTTGGTGATCTTTTAGCGAAAGGATTACATATCCAAGCACCCAGACATCGTTAAAGAAAATTGTTCAAAATAACCACATTCAAATATCGCTAATCATAATCTTTAATGCGACGAGATGACTTCTTTTCGGATCTATGATTTTTTTCCATTCTTCTCCTATTATTTTCAGCTTTCTTTCTGCTCATTATGATTAAACAAAATTAAAACAAAAAAATAAAATAGGTCAAAAAAAAAAACTTATTAATAAACAATGTCTCCATCATTTAATACATACAATTTTTCAATCCTTTTCAAAGTTTCTTCATCTGGAGCCTTTGGTATTTCAGCAGCTTTCAAAATAATCTCGTATAGTTTATCAACACAATCTTCAACATTTTTAGTTTGTGAACGAGTTTTGTCTGAAGTAATCATCAATTCTCCTTTTTTATTGAGTCGTTTTGCTTCCTACATGTATAGTTGGTTAGTTTATTATTGGCAGATATAAATTATAGTTTATTGAATTGGAACTCACTTGAATTGCTAATTTTTTCCTGGCATATTCTGGTATCCATGTAGCATTATTTAAATTAAATCTCATATCGACCTTTGTATTAACTGGTATAAAAAAAAAAAATTAGTAGCTTCACAAATTAAATGATTAATCTTATCGTTAGTTACCTTTGTTCACATTTTGTCCACCAGGACCACTGCTCCGTGCATAACTTAATACAATCAAATCTAAATTATCATAAAAAGCAAATTGCTTATTTAAAATATATTTAAATATAAAAATCTCGAGTCAAAACATAATTTAAATACCTCTTGGAATCTTTTCCTTTGTAAATCCTTTTAACCATCGTTCAGCTTGTTCTATCTCTTTGGGAGTATCTAAACTAGCTATTGCTCTTTTTATAATGTAGAATGAAGGAAGTTGTATCCGAGTTCTTATTCGTGATGAAATCGATGTTTGTAAAATTGATAAATGATAATTTCCTCTATGAGTATTTGTTGAATAAAAAATTATATTTGTAAAATTAAAAGAAAAGATACGTTTTGGTTTGAAACTTATTAATTCTGAGAAATGAGAAAATATCCTGTAATTACGATGGATTAAGGGTGAAAACATTTTTTATAGAGAAACAAAAAGGTCGGTGCATTTATATCTAAAAAAAAAATATGCACAGTTGATCCCATGACGCATATGATAAACATATAAAAGGCTAATTTTTTTTTTCTCCCTTTTTTTAAAAAGATGAGTATTTCATCAAGCAAGCAATTGATTTTATCAACGTATCGGCAAATATTAAAAGAAATTAACAAACAGGTATATTTTGGATAAAAAATTTTTTACCGATTTTAAATAACAATGAATACACTAAACACAAGTTTTTAATAATAGTTCACAAATCAGAATAATAATCAATTATGGAGAAAAGAAGCAATAAGCACGTTTCAACAATATCGTAATTTATCAAATAAGGAAGAAGTTGAAAAATTAACTCAAGATGCACAAGATTTGTTATGTTTCTTGAAAAGTAACCGAAAATTCGATGTAAGGAAATATCTTTTTCATTGTTTTTTTTTTTTTTTTAGAATAAATTTTTTTTAAAATAAAAAAATATTATTTATTTTAAGGAACTCTTGAAATCTTACAATCCAGTTCATGGATATTCCGAAGAAAAACGCATTGAGTTAACGGCTAAAAGAGTTGGTTTAAAATTACCAATAACGATAACGGAGAAAAAAAAATTAACACAAATTACTAAAGATGAGAATCTTTATACTGAAAGCGATGAGGGTAAAATTTTTTAATAATAAGAAATTTCTTTAATTATTTCTTAAGTAATTACAAATTATAAATAAAATCAAAACTTTAATATAATAATTCAATTAAAAAATATATATATAAATAAACCTATGATAGTTTAAAACAAGTTATTATAATATGAACCTTTGCAATAGGTTTCATATATTATGATATAAAGTAAAATAATTTAATTTTACAAGAGAATTATTAAATTAAATAATAAAAAAATGTAAATATATCAGTGTTTTTTGTCATTATATTACACCTTCATTCTTAATTTTACCAAATATTTGGAATAAAAATTTTTTGAATCAAAATCCTTTTTGTTACCCTATTTCTTTAATGGTATTCTGTTAAAATTTAACAGAATTTTACTTTTAATTAAAATCATATTTTATATATATTTAATAATATAATTATTAAAAAAGAAGTCTTTATTTATAATAATTTTTATAATGTATTTAAATCAAAACTATTACTATTTAAGAGATAAATTATATTTTTATTAAAATTAAATTTATTTATTATATTAATTAATTAAATAATTATAATTTATATTTATATTTATTACATATTTTAATACAATTAATCTCCTTTATAATCATCTCTTATATCATCACTTCTTTCTTATAAGCATATTTTTATTAGGATAATGTTAATAATAAACTTATTAAAATTCCTATTATAGTTATATTATATAACTTTTTCTTTCACTATTGAATAGTTTTAGAGGTAATTTTATAATTATATAAATTTTTTTGATCTTGAAAAATATAATTATATAAAGAATAACTATATAATAATTAATTAATATATTATTTTATTTATTAAATTTAATATTATAATTTTTTATTTTATCATATTAACTTTATTATTGATAATAATTTATATAAGTAATTTCTAATAATCTATAAAATTATAATAAAAATCATTATAAATTTTTTTTTTTTTATACTTATATTTTTTTTTTATTTTATATTATTTAATCTTAATAATATTACAATTTTTATAATATTAAACCTTTTATTAAGAATAATATTTTATTCATAAAATTTTTAAATCAATTTTTATTATAAATAAAATTAAAAAACTATATTATTATTTAGCTAATTTTCAATATAATAAACATAACAATAATAATATAAAAGTATTTATTAATTATAACTATTACATTTTACCTCTAAATCAATTAATAACTAGGTTATACAATTAAAATAATCTTACAATAATGTAAATTTAAATAATAAAATTAATTTTAAAATTAGCTTATTAATGTTATTGTAAAAATATTAAAA